TCCGTAACATCAGATCTTCGACAGTGTTTTGTCCAGGGTCCATATCTGTAACATTCACATTTGTGGTCTAAATTTCATGCAGGGCAAGTATTTGCTGTGTTCATAATTAATTGTACAAGTTTAATATTTGTTTTTAAGTTTAGAACATTCAAAGTAAAGACAAAGTTGTCCTATTTCTCTCCTACCTTTAATCAGTTTCCGTTCGGGGCATTTCGGATATGTGTACCACAGACTAAATGACTTTGAAGTCTTCAGTGGTGTCACAGTTTGGACTCGTCGCTGGGAAGCACTTAGCTCTTGAATAAAGGTTTTCATGTTGTTAAAACGATTCTTTTCCACATGACTTAAACCTGAGGAAAAAAAGAGAAAAAATGATCTTTACATTTATCATGTTAAAAATAATGCTCCAATATCACTGGTCTTATGAGAACTACAACCACAAAGTAGTGATAATGTGTAAAATGTAAGAAAAATTACCTAGTTTTTTAAAAGAGTGTTTTTAAAACAATTCCTCTAAATAAAATAGAGTCCAGACAAACATCCCTCAGATGAGTAAATAGAGTCTACATAATAGTCTAATACACAGCTTAACTGAGAAGCTGAGCAAGGACAACATTAATGAGAAAGCAATCTGCAGCTCAGTCAGGACAATTTGTTGAAAATTATTAAAAATTCAATTCAAAATACTTTGTTGATCCCAAAGGTAAATTAAATATGGAGAGGCGAGAAGAAAGCCATACTGTGTTACCATATTTTGACAGAATGAAAATAAAACAGATTCCAGTTTGTTTTTTTTTAAACAGGACAAAATTTAATATGATTAAGAGGTGTGAATATTTTTGCAAAGCACTACGGACATAAAAACCAATATCACAATGGCAGAACTTAAAATTGAATGGATATGAACTGAACCTGCATATCTTGTGAAATTACATTTGGTGTGAATTACCACTGCAGAAATGAACTCAATTGAATGCCATGAGCAATTTACAAGCTTCAACCCCACTTGAAAAATATACCGCAACCCAGAAATATGCAAGGGTTTCACCCTGCTTTGCAAATGGTTTACATTTATGACGTATTCAGAAAACTCACCAAGGCTGTACAAATCTTCATCAGTCACTCCATCAAGGAAGTCTTGTTCATCTTTCACACCCATTTGCAGAAACTGGTTGTAGTAGGACTCCAGTCTGTACTGCTGAAGCAAATTAAATATGGCATCCATCCTTAAGAAATAAGCAAAAGATATTAAGTTATTACTGTATAAAAACAAATAGCATTGATTTAATAATACATCTCAAATTTCCAGTCTTGCCAAACTTCCACAATGCTTGTGCATAGTTAAGACATCAGTCAGTCCATCTTTACCTATATTCATTTGTAAAAGTATTGCCAGCATAACTTTAGAAATATTAGATATTCTCCTACGAAATTATGCAACAACTAACAATTTTGCTTCATATAAAGTTCCCAAAAACAATGAAGTGAAACATTCACATCAAGTCCTGAAACAACAAGGTAGGTTAACTTTCAATTTGCTGGTAGAGCCGAAGGCTAACACAAACAGACCTAGTGTACAATAAACATAGCAAACGCTTTTACAGTTCTGAAACAAATTTAAAAAAAAAAAACATCTTCAATATTTTCTGTGAGATCGGGTGTATACATAGCTTTTCAAATAGTGCATTGCTTCCACCAATTAGCAGTTGTTGAAGGACCAAAGCTTTAGCAAAAAAAAAAAGGACCTGATCTTGAACTTGCCTGCACACATCATTTTAGACAGGGTAGCTATAAACTTCTACACACATCTCATTTTCTAAAATGAAAACGCTCTGGAAGAGAATAATGAAAGTAGCAGACAATCTGCTTACCTTTCGCCTCTTACGTTGCAAATCTGCCAACGACGGAGTAAGAAAACAGCCTATTGGCTGTTCAATAAGACGCTTAATTTGAATAATTTGTCATTTGCATGCACAGGACAGAGGGCTGCCAATGTGTGGAGGATAATAATAATAATAATAATAATAATAATAATTATTATTATTATTATTATAATAATAATAATAATAATAATAATAATAATAATAATAATACAAATATTCATGAAACTAAAAATTCACTGTTTTCTGTCGTTTATTTTACTTTCTAAATCTACAACTTCATCCATTATACAGGTATGGATCCAGTGGCTGCATGCGTCCCGATCAGCAGGGCAGGGAGTGAAAGAGGAGATTATCCAGGTGGATCAGAAACAGAACAGCCCGAGCTCATTGGGTAATCAATTTCAAGTATGAAAACACTGTTGATAAGACACTCATAAAATCATTAAATAGCGATCAAATAAACTATATTTTAAAAGAAATTCAAGGGAGTGTGCATAATTTAATTGAACAAGAAAGAAATTAAGAATGAAATACTTGGCAGACCACAAGACATGAAAGTATTTTAACCGCAGATGTTCGTGTTTTTATGCAGTGGCAGCCTCAACCTGAGTTTCTCCTAATGTGACACAAGTGACCAGTCTTATTTAGGCATTTATTGTATAGGTACATTATTCACTCACTGTTTAAAATGCTAAAAAGGAGAATCAGAAAGAGAATCATACCTTGTTTATGAGGACTGGTCCACAACAACAGCTGTTTTCACTCAATGTCAGCTGACGAAGAAAGAAAACGAAACCAAAAAAAAAAAAAGGCACCACAACATGGAATAAAGATCCAAAATGGAGTCCACGCAAAGAGGTTACAATAAATTTCTAATAAATTTGTCCATGTTGTTCTTTGTTTTTCTACTTCATCTTTTTGTTTTGTATTTTGTTTTGAAAAGCACACAAAGTGAAACTCACTTCCACCCCACCAACTTATTTATTTATTTATTTATTTATTTTTATTCATTATTATTATTTTCTGGTGAACTGTCAAGTAGGATATTTGGTATTTGTGTTAATTTTCCAATTGGTTGCAGCTGGGTAAAACTTGCCACAGCCTGGTTCGGGTGTGAAAGCACAGCGTCCCGTCTTGTGACACTGAAAGAGACAAATCACAAATATTCAGAAATGTAAAAATTAAAAAGGGTGAGACAGGCATATTTTTTTCTGTCGTTATCCAAAAAATGACAGATGATGACAGAAGTCCTTATCTGCAAAAGCTTACAGAGATTTCATCACATCTTCCTCTTCATTGTCAAACCAGTCCTGTATGGTTGAATGTTTTAGAGGATGACTACACAGGCAGACTTTTTCATCTTGAATTTAAACACTTTGCTGTAAGAATCCGTCCATGCATTCATTATCCACTTATTCTTGCAGTGTCACAGGGTTGCTGGTGCCCATCTCCACTGGTCATGAAGGAAGAGGAGGGAAGAAGAGGATGTGGTTATTAATCCATATCTTGCCTGGCTATTGCTCTCATGTGCAATTCTACTTGAAAAAAATGTTGGGCTTTCTGTCTTTGACTTGGATTATCTCCAGTAGATCTTTCACTGGGCCAATCAGTGAAGAGAAGAAGTTGTGAATGATGACATACATTTTCTGTGCTGTTTTGTTTTGTAAGACAGTAAAGCTTGTAAGATGTAAATTTACATATTTTAATTGCCCTACTGCAGGTTCCTTCATTATGTACTCGTAGAATCAATCTAGCTCTTGTCAAAGCAATTTTCTTTGAAGGGTGCAGATTAACATCTTCAAAGTGTGAGTGCATATGGCTTTAGGTTGTTATAGTTCATTTTTTATGTAAATGCTAAACAGCAGCTGGCAAATTTCCTCATAAAACAAAGAGAACAAATTTATTACCTTATTTTCCTAATTCAGTTATTCACTAAACTTTGAAATTGTCAGTAAATAAAAATGTTGATCGTTGACTGGTTTAAAGATTGAATGTTGACCTTTTATTCATTTTATTGGTTACATGTTTCAGTTTGATTCTACCTTGCTGACTTTTTGTGCATTGGCAAGAAAAGGTCAAAACTAGTGCAGTTCCATCTTTTGACCACATGGTGGAGCACCTCCTTTAATGTAATTGAAATATTGCCATCAAATATTCAGAGGTTTTTAAAGTCGTCAAAAATTGTACCCAAGAGTAAAGAAGTATTTGATAAAAATCCCACTAGCACTGTTAAGACATATCATCTGATTTAATTAGCATATATATATATAAAAAAACTAATCAGTCAGACAAAAATATAACAGATATGCGCAAATTATAGGATTTCAAAAATAATAAAAAAAATGAAATAAATAAATAAAATCATTACAAAACTAATAAATTTACACAAAAAGAAAACATTTTCAAAACAAAGACATGCTCTTCTTCATCATGGAGAGGTTCAGTCCCACCATAATATCCCATAAATCTCAACTAATCTCATTAGCACTTTTCTTAAATAACATAAAAAACAGAAGAAGCAAGTGCTCAAAGTCAAGACTACATTATAGCTTAACACTTTGTACTTAAAACTTGAGTAACTTTTTAAAATTAAGGTGACCAAATTTCAAACTGTTTAAGACATTAAGTAACCCCCAAAAATAAGACAGCAAAAATGTGAGGAACATTTTTATAGAGAATATTCTTACTTGTTTTGACAATAGTTTGAGAAAAAGGATTAATATTTGTGGTAATATTTTTTTACCACATGTCATCAACCAAAAATGTTAGCTGTTATTTTTTATGAACATATCAATAGACAGAACAAAACACTTTAACACTCAAAAGTCTAAGTGAGAATCAAAAGCAACAAAATTTGGTTTATTCAGTGTGTTATATACAGTGCTCAGCAAAGTGAAAACAGAATGACTTAGCCATGTAGCCCAAAAACAATTTTTTTGTGCAGCCCGAATTGTATAAAAAAAAAAAAGAAAAGAAATACACAAATTCAAAGCTTGTATTTAAGATTATCTCTCGTCAGTACTTTAACCTTAATTTAATCTCAGACATTTTATTAGTGAAAGATGGCAACATTGCAGGAACGGCTGTGAAAATATATTTAGAAACGACGTTCATCAAGTTTTCTTGGTTGTGGTTTTTCTGGTGAATTAAGTTTTTTTTTTCTCTGCTGTGGTTGAGGACATATCTCATTACTTTTTGGATGAAGTCATGAGTCGTCTGCGATGCTGACGCTATCTTGACTTCTTTGATTGTTGGTATTTTGTCTTAGGCAACTATTTCTATTTCTCCCTGACTGTTGTTTTTCTTGGCGCCACATTGATCAAAACTTCCAGATATGTGGGAGATTCCACTGGTCTTTTCAGACTTATCTTTCTGCAGTACAGCTAACACCAAGTTTCTCCCACTGCTACAATTGTTATCCCTGTCATCTGGTTTTATTTTACCATTCGCAGACACAGAATGGTCAATGAGACTACTGCTACTGCTACTGCTGCTGCTCCTGCTGCCTGCGTCAGATTGCTGATCCAAAGGAGGAGGAGGTAAGGGGGTGAAGTTTATATTTCTTGAACAAAGAGCACTGATTTTTCTCTCCCTGTGTGGTGACCAGTCAGCATCTGTGCTCAGTCTGTGAACACAGCATTGTGATGATGGATGGGAGGCAGAGTCTCTCTCAGAGCTTATGTGAAGTTCTGAAAAAGTTCTGCAGAGAGGGTCAGTGAAGTCTGGCTTTCTGGAAAAAATAGAGTTCTCTTGGCTTTTAGTAACTTTCAGGTTAGTGTTCAACCTGTCACTGCTGGTATGTTTAACTGATTCATGAGAGGCTGATGTAGAACGATGCAAACCAAGAGTCCGCACTAATGAGGTCCTGGTAGGAGGATCATGACTTGGTGGTCTGGGTTTGGGCTGCCACAGTGGAGGCAGATCTAGTCTCGAGCTTGATTTAGGAGTAGGAGCTAAGTGAGTACCTAAACCAGATTCAGCTGGAAATCTGAGGTAGGAATGGGAAACACATTATTATTTACATATTATGCTACATTCCAGCTCAATGACATCATTGTGCTCATGTGTAAAAGCACAATGAAAATATAGAAAATAAGTAGGTTCTTTGAGAAACACTATAACATACAAACCTGAAACTTTTCTTCTTACTTGAAACTGGAGTCGAGGATGAGGCTTCAGAAGATGAAGGCAGGAGCTTCAGGTCTGTTTGGATGGCTGCTCTGAGTTCTTTCAGCTCTACACAAATGTAGATACAACAGATCTCACGTCAGAAAAGCTCTGACATAAAAATGTATTAACAAATTGAAAATATGTTATTAAAAACCAAAGCCTGAACAAAAGTCGCATCATAAAATACTAAAAATAACAAATAACTTTTAAAAAGAAAGAGCTCAATTGTTTATATATATATATATATATATATATATATATATATATATATATATATATATATATATATATATATATATATATATATGTATATATATATATATATATATATATATATAACTTTTTTGTTACTCTTGCTGATCAATAATTTACCAGCAGGTGGCAGCAAATACCAAAAATTCATCTCACCTGTAAGTGATGGCTCAGGCTTATTTAAGCGACACTGACTTATACACTTCAATTTGATGTTTTCCTGGAAAACACATAATTCACAAGAGAAAGGTTGTGAGTTTCAGTCGATGGCGCAGTTTTCATGCACATCGCTGTTATGTGTCAAGAATACTTAAGCAGAAAAGACAGACACATTGGAAAAAATTTGTTAATGTACTAAACACTCCCAAGACGAGACTCTGGAAAGGGAAGGGAAATGAGCAAAAGGGATAAAAATAACATAGAAAGAGAGGTGAAAGGAATGTAAGTGTGTGTGTTGGAGACCACTAAGCGATGGAGCAGCAGCGTTCCATCATAATTTGGCCCCTAACATATAAATCCATGGCAAATGAAAACCATGCCGCTCTCTGTGTTTGTGTGTTAAAAGTTGGAAAACCCAGATATATAACATACAAGCAACTCTTTATTTGTGCCAGCACACATCATAATTTTTTTTATAGCAACCACAAAGTGTACCACATTTCACACAGACACGCATAAACATAATCACTCATACCTAGCTAAGTCGAGAACCTGGATGTTGAAGCACAAATCACAGACTCCCAGAGGGATTAAAAACCAAACCTCCAAGTGTTTCCTTTCAGATGAATTATATGTGGTGCTTTTCACAAGGAAGAATAAAACCCCTGAAAATGGGTTTCATAAGCCCACAGAGAGGAGAAACACATTAACCATGGTCCAAACTTCCTGATATTTTAGGAAGAGCTATGTAAGTTTTGGAATTTTTTGTAAAATATATAAATAAGAAACAAATGTATGACTGCACTGCAATTTCTGTAGGTTCAGTCTTTTCTCCATTAAATGACACGTCTTATACAAATGTGTGAACAGTCTTAAAATGTAATCATCTCAAAATGGAATGGAATGATCTCACATTGAAAAATATGAGCTTCAGATGTTGACTTTTTAAAAAAAAATGTTTTCTCAGCTATGGCCCCAAATGTCCATTGGAACTTGGTTAAATAAGCTTGTTCTTCCTACCTGATAAAGAGCAACACGCACATATTCCTGATTCAAATGTCATGGTCTCTAGTCTTTCCCACTTTGAATAGTTTCAAAAACAAATAGGGCTTAACAGATTTAGGAAATTTGTTGTGACCCACGAAAAATAAATATGTGGAGTTCTGATTGTTATTATCCAACACATTTGTGATTAGGTAAAAACTTCCAGAAATAGTTATCATTTTCAAAAATGGCAGGATTGAATTACATATGTCAATTCTGAACTAATTTTACATGTCACCTGAAGTATTGAAATGATTACAATGTTGTAGCTTAGGTTGACCTGGAACATTGACTTCTACTAAAATGTGTACTGCAGCATCAGAGTAGGGCTGTCCTTTTGATGCTATTTTTCAAACCACTTTTAAAGTTAAATGCAAAAGCTAATGATAACCACCCACTGCTTCATAGGACCTTCAGTTACCATGTATGTCACTTGACCCAAATCAAATAAACTGAACTCTGTTTAGAGCAGCAGAAATGTCTGAAAGTCATGTTTTAGCAAACAGCAGACATGTCTGAGAGGTGACAATGATATCTAAGCCACATACTCAGAGTGGGAGCAGATCGTATGCAAATGCATCCCCTCAACAAAGTGAGTCTCTCTAATTTATAGGAAGCTCAGTGTAAATTAAGTGAAATGGTACAAACGATGGACTTGGGTAAGTGCACTGAGAAATCAATGCATATTTTCATATATTTCACTCAAACAATCTGGAGGTTTATATGTAAAAGTGCAGTGCTAGTACAGAAAAAAACATCAGAATGTTTTTTATATTTGGGATACTTAATTCTTTTAATTGACTGGCTTACTGCTCAGCAAACACAGCTTAAGGTGGATGGATATTAGCTGGTGGCAGCACCTTTTTTAAAGCCTTTCTTCTGCAAGACATTAATGAGTCATACGCCTTTTGTTTAGAACTAGATTGTGGAAGTAAAAAAGACTGTTCAAACTACATCAACCTAAAAGCCTAAGGCAGTTGTATTTAATAGCTATTTTAAAATATATAGTATATTACCTAACCAATCAGACTAAACCCCATAAAGGAGGTGCTTTATGAAATTCATGAAGGAACCTATGGGGCTGCTTTTGTCTTTATTTCTTTTTATTTTATTTGATAGACAAACACAAAGGCTAAGTGTGATTTTGTCAAGCTAGATCAAGTTTAAAGTTTTATTGCTGTGTCTCAGCGGCCTAGGATGAGTAATGTCTTAATGATAAGCAGTATGAGCAACCACTTTTCTTGGAGAATAAGATCGGTGAATTTTATGTTGCCATAAAAACAAACAAGCAAACAACAACAACAACAAAAGACCTAAAGAACGTTCTGAAGTCAGATTATGGTAGATTTCCTTCCAAGATTTGGTGAGTTATTGCAGTTAATGAGGCAGTTCTATCTCGCATAACCACCTTCAATTTTCTAAAATTGAAGGTGCTTTGGAAGTATATGCTGTATTAAAAGAAGAGGGTGTTTAAACACTCACTGAAACAAAAACCTTGACAGTAAATTTTTCAGGAAATACCATAAAGCCTTAAGGTGAAGTTTTACTGGTTGTGATAACATTACTTTGGGTGAAACGGGTTAATTTAAATCCCTTCCTCTTTGCAGTTTGTTTACAAGAACTGCTTGATAAGGTTTCCGTGCATGCCGGTTAATTTGTTTCCAACATAATCTTCCAGCCATGATAACTAAAAAAAATGTCTTAAGAAAAAATTTTATAGGTTACCTATTTTCTGAAAAATATCCTACAAGATAGTAACAAATAAATAGTAGGGGGGAAAAAGTTGAACATCTGGCCCACAGAGACTTTCTACATCTGGGAAACCTCACTCTGTTTTTCTCATGCAAGAGAAAAACAGACTGGAGAGACGAATGCACGTGTTCTCAGCATTGTGTGTGCTTCATTCTACCTTACTGTGCCTGTTCATCATTTGAGTGTTTGGAAAATAAACCTGTATTTCTTAACATTGCAACAGCTTGTGGGCAGACAGATGAAAGCCTAAGAGTTCCAACCACAAGTTCATGTGATGGACTAACACAGAAAAACCAGATTTGTGAAATGGAAGACAGATGACTCATGCAAAATGATTGGTGTGGAGTTGTTTTCAGTCTCCTGCATTGTTACACTTCTAAACAAAATTCAGTCAAACCAACTCCAAAGCAACCTATTTAGTGAATACAATTCAACAGTGAGCTTTACAAAGCAAAGTCAGGTTATACATATATTAGCCAAACTTTGAACATTGAACAGAGCACTTATCATTCAATCATTTCAAAATTAAAAGATCACAGCACAACTGCAATCTAACAAAAATAGTCATTTATCACTACTGGTAAGCTCGGAAAGGAGAGCTTTAAACAGAAAGGAAGCCAAGAAAACCATGATTACTCTGGAGGAGCTGCAGAGATCCACAGCTCAGGTAGGAGAATCATTTACAGAACAACTGTTAATCATGTTCTTCACAAATCTGTCCTCTATGGAAGAGTGACAAGAAGAAAATTCTTGTTGAAACATAACTATGCTATGCTATGCTATGTCCCACTAACTGCACAGAAAACACAGAAAATGATAATCTGGTCAAATAAGACAGAAATCAAAATTAAACAACACATTTGGTGGAAAACCAATTTCGACCTTGAACACATTTTTTTTATATTGAAACATGGCGGTGGTAGAATCATGGTAAGAAGATGATTTTAATCTGCAAAAACATGGAAGCAGGTCAGAGCAGTTGGAGAGACGAATGGAGATTTTTAAAGGATATTTCTGATAGAGTCTGCAAAATAGTTAAAACCGGGTGGATGATTTAGATCAAAGCATCCTTAGATGTCAGTCAAGTCAAAGCTCTAGACCTACAGTAAATCCAATTCAGATTTCCACCATTAAAAGTGTGATCTTTTTCAAAGAAAAATGGGAAAACTTTGAATTTCTGGTATTACATCTATCTGTACGCTACTTAATTGTAATGTGACAAGATATGAAAGAGTTCAAGGGGAATGTCCATATGACAGATGAAAAGGTTCAGAAGGTTTTTTGGGTAGAGAAACAGAGTCCTTACATGCTTTATTGATACTGTATTGATTAGTATGATTTGTTTTCATATCAGTAAGAAAGTGATATGTTTTTCCTACATTTCCCCCTAAAATTCAATGAAATTATTGACCAATGTGCTTAGTGGTTAGTCATTCACTAGTCTTACCTTGAAATGCTTTGTCATTTTAGTCAATGCTTCACATTCCTCCAAGAGGACACATCTAGACAGACACATCACAAAATAAATGGTGCATTACTATCACAGAGCAAAAAACAGCCTACTCCACTTTTTCAAATTAACTTAGGAAATAGCACTTTGCTTTATTTTTCTCTCCCACCATCACTCCACTCTTTCTCCTTCTCTGGTTAGATTATCACTGCAGACTTCATTTACTTCCTTCAAATAATAATAATACAAAAGAATCCTCTGCAAGTCCAGTCTGGGTTTCATTTTCTGACAATGAAGCCTTTTGTTCTGGTCTGGTCAGGAAATGGGAGAGAAAGCAAAAAGGGAGTGAGAGAAAGAGAGAGAAAAAAGGAAGGGAAGAAAAGAGTGAGAAAAGGAGGAGCTAAAAGGTAGCTTGAGTGCCCTGGGGGCCTCAAAGCGAGGGATGAAGTGAGGAAAAGAGGGATGGAGCATGAAAAAAGGGGACCCTGGTGACAGAGGCCACAGATAAAGTTTGTAGAGATTTTAAAGGGGGAAATGGCTGAAAAGGGAGTGCACTCAAAGGATCAGAGTGAGATCAGGTAGAAAAAAAATTGCAAACCAATGAAAAAGCAAGTAAGAAAACAGAATCAGAGAAAGGAAATGAAGGATCGTTTGTTATTCCAGAAGGCAGATTGCTTCTCTGGGTAGATTTTTTCCCCCTCCGTTTCCGGTAAATCTACCAGTACAGAAACCAATTACCCAGTTAGACGTTTACTGCAGAATACAGCAATGGTACAGCAATGGTACAGCAATGGTACGGGGAAATGACCCTGATCTGTGGAGGGGGAGTTTTGTGTAGTGAGGGTCCTACACATTTCACTTTCCTGGACTGTCCTCAGCATTCTATTTCATTCATCTCAGTTTAAGGTCCTCCACAGTTCATACTTTCTTTTACCTTGGACTGTAATAGGTTTGAAATGGAGGACCTCTGTTTTCAGCCAGTTATTTTGTTAAAATGCTTTATAGTTTTTACCTCGCAAGGCACAAAGCATTCTGCAAATCAATAACAATTTGATACATTTCCACTTGGGTCATTTTTATTTTGGCTTATATATTAAAATCAAGAATTGTATTGTAAATTACGAAGAGAAGAACTGAGCAACATATTTAAAGCCCTTGAGACAGACAAATAAATCATAAAAGCATTAATAGTTGGAGTTTACCTGAGTGGAGAGATCACACTGTGAATATTAGTGATATTCAGCATATCTTTAACTGCTTCAATCTCACTCCCAGCACTGGACATGACAGAAGAACAAGAACTAGTTCTGTTAGAGGAGAGTCAGCTACATTTTTGTTTTGTTGCTGTCTAGTCTCAACCGGTGTCCAAACCTGTTGAAGTTATCAGCATTTTTGAGGTTGGAGGGTCTGCCATAACCAATCTTCTGCTGACCAAGCACATAGCTTAGAGTCTCAGGATTGTATCGAAGCAGGAGCTCCTCACTGTCTCTGTTTCAACAAAAGTAGGAACAAAGACAAGTCACATTAGTGAACGTTGTGAAAAACAGTCTGAGGAAAATTTGACATTCAACATCATATAAGTGTACTTCATGAGACCTGTACAGTCCCCTATAAAGTATTTGCACACATCAATGATGACAATATGTCATTAGTCACAAAATTTAAAGTGTTTCATTGGGATTTCATATACAACACAAAGTGGTGCATAAATGTAAGCAGGAAGCTAAATGCTATACATTATTGTGCTTAAAAGTATTTTTCAAAACAATTTGAAACGTATGGATTTGTATTCATTCTTTTTTTACTTTGATGACCTAAATAAGTTCCAAGGCAACCAATGAGTTTCAGCAGACACATGAGTGTAATTAGTATAAATCCAGTTGAACTGTATTGGTCTAAGATGTTTGTTGGAGAACATTAATGACCAAATGACACCAAGAACACAGCAGGCATGTCAAACATTAGAGCAATCAATAGTAAAACATTATTTGTAAAAGATATTGATTAGCAACAGAATTGATATAAACTGAGGAATTATCATTTCCCCACACATTTTCACAGCAGCGCTGTAGACACAGATATTGAGTCGCAGCACCGTTATGATTCACAAAGTCAAAGACTCCATCCCACTGCGGCCACAAATTCACACAAGGGAACCTCCAGCAGACTAATGACCTGTGAACACCTTCGATAACTGTTTTATATAGGCATAATGTTGCTAATAAGAAAATGAGCACCTGTTGAAAAACTGTGGACTCGTACTGAAGCTGACAATTAGAGCAGAAGGTAGTCAGAACTCACAGGTATAGTTTAAAATTTTAGTGCTGTGACAACCCTATGGATGGCAAATTGAGAAACTTAACACGGGGTTAGGTTAAAAATAACAACCAATACTGTTAACACATCATGGAATACTGTTCGATATCATCCAGAAAGTCTGTGGAGTAACTGAAAGTCGACAAAGACATGGTCGTCTGCTTTAAAGATCAGGCCAGGAGGAGGAACATTGACCAGAGAAGCAAGAGGGGAAGAGGAAAAGCTCAGCTTCAGCAGCACAGCAGCCCTAAACATACAGGCAGAGCTACAATGCTATTGTTGTGATCCAAACATATTGATGTGTTAGCTTCTGCTGAGAATCTATGATGAGACTTGAAAATACGGTTCAGGGGGTATATAGGTAGTAGGCACTGTATACTCAGATTGATCAGACAGCTAATGGGATATGCTACAATGAATGAAAGAATTGACAATTCAGTATTTGACTAATTGGAAAACAGATGAATGGAAAGCTTTCTTTAGAGAAAACATTTTCTTGTGTATACAGCTGCAGGAATGAGGACAGCTTTGTGCAATCTTAAGAATTTTAGCCTTTACTCTTGAGGAGAGTCTGCCTTTTCATACAGCTCAAACAATTACATTGAGCTTTGTGTGTGTGAGTGTGTGTGTGTTTTACTACACTATAAGGGGAGAGTGGATGGAGCACCAGGGCCACACAACATGAAGTCAATGGAGGACGGTCCACATCCATTCCATACACCGTCATCCAATTGATTCAAATCAATTGCACTGAGTACTCTGCATCTAATGTTGAAACCAGTTGCTACGAAAGTGTTTTTGGCTGAAGTGCACAGCAAATCAAATTAAAAAGTAATGAACATGAACACATGTATTTCAAGGGAAAGACTTTGCAAGGCTTTGGCAATATTTTTCTACATCTCATGCCAACAAAGCCTATTAAAAGGAGGAAAATTGACAAACAGAGGGCTCCTCAAGTGGCTTTGTTGAGTGAAAGTGTTATTAGCTGGGTTTACTCCTGAAAGCCATTCAGTTGATATGCACTTGGGACTTACAGCTAATTGAATGATCAAAGGCTTGAAATGTGCACACCCACTCACAGTGCCATGCATCAAGGTCGACAAATTACACTGACGCCAACTTCAGAGAGAAAATACCATTTGTTCTGGTAACATCTGTGGGGTACCAGTGCTTGCTTTGGCTCTTTTCTCATAAAGCCATTAACAATAGGGTACAAGTCTCACACTAAAGGAGACTTTTTATAATCCATTTACATTCACGTGAGAGGGGACATGAGGGACTTGTCATGTGGCATTAATTTGAATTTCTGCTCCCTTTCATGGGACACTGTGCAATTAAAAGTTTAGGTGTCTTAGACTCTGCCAATTACTCTTAGCTAATGAATATTAGTTTATTTATGACTCTTGTGACACATGAGTAATTATGACCCCAGATCAAAGCAAACCATCTAGGAGTGACCTTTCTGGGTAGATTATATTTATTGATCACGTAACCACATATCTATACAGCAGACCATCAGTGTGAATATATAGAAAATGACTCAAATCACTGGTTGTCATAGCATCCTCCAGTTTGATCAAAACTGCAGAAAGTAAGACATGATGCTGTTGACCATGGACTACTTTTGTAAAATTAAGATAAGAAATACAAATCAAACAACGACATGGAATAGAGCTTCACGTCAGGTGTGTTTAGGAACAGAAAAAAATGGTAATAAAAATAAATGGCAAATTAAAACTTGAGAGGCAAATTCGGAAAACAATTTGAAGACACAACAGAAATCAACTATGTTGCTTTTTTGTTACAGCCCCAGCCCTAAAACCAGTATGGGGTCTTGCAGGGTGACATTCTTAGCAGCAAAAAGCTGGTTACCAGGACACCCAAATTTATGCAGACTTTCACACACTCTTGTGCATCTTCTTGTGACCAAGATGTTCCAGAATTTTGCCAGATTTAAATTAAAAACAACCTTCACAAAATCCTCCCTGATTTAAGAAGTATTTGGAGTAACTGTTGGAAAAAAACAGAGGTTTCAGCTCTTGAAGAGAGAATGACTTATATAAAAGATACATGGGGTAGCATGCTCTTTGAGCACTCTTCACTGACTGAGTTCTGCCATAAATCATTGTAGATTTATGGCTTCTTAAATGGAGTTTGCTGACATTAGAAAGGACAGCATGTCTTCCTCCAATAATTGTGCTATTGTTATGGATTTTCTGAACCAAGAGCGTCCTCCTATTCTTCAAATCTTTGTTTCACTGCTTTCCCAAGCTATTTGTAACTCCCATAGGAGGACAATATAGTACTTTATTGCAGTCTTTGTATGTGTACAAATTGCACAGATAGTAAGTCAGTGCATTGTGAAGTGATTGCCCCAGCATCTAGTTGGTGATAAAGGACACAACAGTTTCTCAGATCATAAAAGCCAAAAATAAAAAAAGAGAATTTAGACAAGAGCACAGTTTTAAAGTTTTAGTCTGTATTTATTCTGATATTTTGAAAATAAACATCAAAATTAGTATGTGTCATAAAATGAATGCAAGTATTTGCCTATATTGACTTTGAAATCTTCAAAATCCCATTACAGTTCCAAAAGCTTCTACAATAACAATATTTATGTGAATTCATTAATGATGCAGTGTAGAGTTAAAGTAAACTTTGAGAGTTACCAGTACCTTTCGCTGTTGCAGGCTCTTCCTTTGAGTGTCTCCAGTAGTAACTTGACCTCTCCTCTCACCAACTCTTTCACAACAGGCGGGTCAGAAAGAGAGGGACCCTGCACTTGGTGGTTCCCATAACACTGACTCTCCTGCCACTTCTTGTGCCACATCTCTGCCTGCAGATGCAACCACAATGAAGCAAGTAAAACATAATCCTCAACAAAACTCCACATTTTGTCCCTCATATCTAATCACCACAGACAGATTTTTTTTATGTGGACAAGAGAAACAAATGGGAGGATTTCCCAAAATATTACCCTGTAAATAATTGCACGTTCTTTAAGATGGTGTGGTGTAGTGGTATCAAACAGAACTGTACTGATCTGAAAACAGACCTCTGGGTAGAGGAGCAGACAACCTCTCAGTTTCTGTAATCTGTGAGTGTTTCTGTCTCTGAGGAGTCTGGATACCATTAGCACCTCAACACCTGCTTGAAAGTCAGTCATTGCTGCTGTGCTGCACCCATAGAGTTCACTTCAAAGGAATACATCGAAGGCGACGAAACATGTCACTTCTGACCCTTCCATGAACGTCCTTGCTCATTCACACACCAGTATGAACTACATCTTGCAGCTGGACACATTTTTTTCAGCTCTCACTGTTTTACACTGTATGTGTTTCCTGCTGGGTACTGACAGGTTGTTCTTGGATATTTGCTCCATCTCTCAGCTCATTGTGACGTTCACTTTAAGGTGCACTTATGGAAAAACAGCAGTTAAAATATGACTGTAATATTTATGTTGAAGATTGTTCTACTTCAGACTTACTGCAAAGCAGGGGCATTCCACAAAGATCGCTTACTACTCATATAATCATTTCACCTTGTCCAAACTTTCACTTTTATGCTGATGATACTGTAATTACTTTCCATGCATACTCCTGCAAAGGCTCTTGATCATCTATTATAAATCTATTACAAATCTCAAACAGGTTCAAACAACTCTAACTCTGGATGGCTGGATGGATGGATGAAGGAAAGCAAAGTTTATTAAATATATGTTTTTTCACTGCTTTGAGAAGACAAAACACTGAAATTAATGCCTAATTTGTAATATTTAGAACTTTTGAATGATGATAATTTGTGTTTAAGGACTACATTCATCATGTAACTTTGGCTTTCTCACTCATTATTACCTACTCTTCACTCATGCAAACTTATCATTTGTAAATGAATGTTCACACCATCAGTTGTTTTCATTCATATACAAAGCTCCTCTTGATGAACCTATTTGTACTTAATTAGTTTATTAATTCAGTGAACCCTTCATTCAATGGACAGTTTCAAAATGGTTAAGAAAACTGAAATGGCAAACACAACTTTCATATTTTGGAATTTCATCTACAAATGAAAGAATTTAAAACTCTGAAGTCAGGCTAACTGTGTTTAGATGTTTCTCTATGTGATTTTACACAATTTACTGCTCCACTGTGGGATCTTTGCTTGTGAACTCTGCTGCTCTGTGTGACTGCTAGGTCTCCCTTGCAGAAAGACATGTTACCATTGAGGAAAAAATGGTTAAATAAAGAAAGTTAAATATATTTGAAAGGAAGCGTTCTTGGACAGCTCAGGATTGAGAGGTACACAGTGAGACCTTGCCCTTGAAGGAAATCAAGAGAGCTTAATATGGACTTCGTATCTAACCATCTTACACAATGAGGACTTTGATAGAAGGAGGAACAAATTTATTAAGGAATGAAGGAGGAACCTTCTGATGTAGTATCACCTTACTTTTCACTGAGGCATGGATTCATTACACAGTTCACTGTCTAGCAAAGGGAGAAGGAAGCTGTATGACCACCGGAGACAGAATACAAACTGCAAAAGACCTTATTAATAGCTGAAAATTGAACAAAGTTATACTTTATAAAAAGTAAGATATAAACATAAGAATCAGAAAGACTGTCTCTCTTATTATATTGATATTCAAATATTCCAAAATGATTTTGAGGCCACCTCCACCTTCAACAGTTTCACTTCCAATGTGTTTCTTTGTCTCGTCCAGAAACAAAGTTTTATTACTCACAATACATTTCAGATCACTATCTCTTTCTTTCTAGTACTAAAAGTCACAATACCTATTAATGATAGTCACAGTATTGATAATAGGTTTGAAACTGAAACATGACAACAACCTCCATGTGCAATCTGAGAACAAATTGTAGCAGCTCATAAAGATGTGGGATTTGATGCCTTCTTATTTGAAAATAAACATATTTCAATGTGAAGTAGAGAATACAGAGTTTAGAAAATACATTGTGTGGTGATAACTTTAACATTTTAAATATTTTAAATGGAATGTTTGTAAGTTGTTTAATGTGACTTTGATATGTAACAAACATAAACTCATATGTTGTCAGAATCAAGAATAAATTATTTGGTTTGAAAGCTGAGTGTTGGCAGGCTGTTGTTTGCTCCATGAGGAGAAGAGAGACCTAAACTGACAGGTTCAGGAAAGGAGAACATTAATCAAAGGCATAGCAAATAAGCACGCAGTAACTCAGGTGGGGCAGCTGAGCCACAGTTCAGAAGGGAGAATCTGTTGACAAGGCAGCTATTATATTATGAACTGCACAAATCTGGCCTTTATAGAAGAGTAGTAAAAAATGTTACTTTTCAACTAAAGCTACAAGAAGTTCCATTTGAAGTTTTCCAGATGCAAATGTGTAGAAGAAGGGGCTCAGATCAGAGGAGATCAAAACACGATGCAAGGTGAAAAACCGACACGTTGCAAACGCTGAGCATGACATCTGAGCATGATAAAAGACGGTGGGGCGTCATCATGTTTCGAGGATGCTTTTCTTCAGCAGGAACAGGAAGTTTGTCAGAAATTATGGGAGGATGGATGAAGTTAATTACAAGACAATTGTGAAATAAAATCTATTTAACTTGAGAACAGGCCAAAATGTCACAATCCACTTTCCAAGTTAAAAGTCCTTGAAGGTTTTGTCACAAATAGATAAATGCTTCCAATTCGCACGTCTTAAAGCTTTTGGTTAAGACAGATATGAACAATTTCTTCCTAGGCTTTTGAGCTACTGTATCTTTCCTTCAGCTTTACTAATGTTTTTTTTTTCTTTTCAAAACAAAGTTCTTTTATTTTTTTTGTCTGTCTTGACTTTGTACTAGCCTGTTTCATGAAAATTAGTACTTCATACCTGGCTTGTATGAAAGCAAACAGGGCTTTAGACTGAGAGTTTAGCTAATGCTGAATAAATATCAACATCTATCTGGCTTGCATTTTGAATGTTTTGAAGCACAATCAGTCAATTCACATCTACTTCTGTTATGGCTTCATGGGAGTGCAAGTCATGAAGAATGAAGCCAAACTACTTCCTTATACAGTCTGGTTCTGGATTTCTTTTCTAGGAATGCTTGGCTGTGCAACTTTTTATTCGTCCAGGCTAAAAAGGAAATTCTTGTAAATGTTGTGGCTTCATTCTGGTGGAAATCTGGTAAAAATAGATTCAAGATTCCTACAAAAGTTACAAGCAATGAAGTCATTTCTGCTCTAACTGAGAAAAGCAGTCCTTCATCTTAAAGTCAGCCATAAATGAATCAACGATCACACAACAGACATGGAGCCTTCATAACTCACCTCTGAGTGAACCTCTGTGTACATGTCAACCAGAGAGTCACCCAAAGCTGCATGGATCTTCAGCAGCTCTGACTCTGAGACATAGTCAGTGATGAGGCTCCACAGAGACTGTCCGGGACACGGGAGCTGGTTTTCATCAGGTGAATGCATGTGTGGAGCGGTCTGAGCACAAAAGAATGCAAAAATCGCTGCAGCAGGCAGAACTTAAGATAACTTGAAAACGTTGAGCAGCCCCCCAAAAGTGAATAAATGTTACAAACAGCATAAACTAAATGCATCATAGTAGCACACTTTTATGACAGTAAAGAAATCTCACACTCAGGTTGCTTTCAGGTTGCAAGATCATGCTAATTAGTGGTCCTGCTGTTTACACATACTTAGGACACCACCCTTTGCCAACAGCACATCACTTGGTGTTGTTCTATAACATCTCACAGTGTTAGACCATACAGAGAAATGAATCCTTTGCATTTTATTTGCACAAGATAATACAAAATGATGGATTCTTTTCCTTATCCCTTCATCTCGCACCACAGGTTTTCTGTAAGATTTTGGTTTGGAAACTCAGATGAAGTTTAATTTATTTTATAGTGAACAATTTGTCTCTTGAACTGGCCATAGATTTTGGGTTAGTATCCTGCTAAAAGTATAGAAATAACTATCTATTTTATTTAGTTTTTTGGCATATTTTTAATTAAAATGTCAAATATGTCTCCTTATTGCAGCTCACAGCTTCCCCACCTTACCATTGATGTGAAGTATTTCTCCACATAAGTGTACATAAGTCACCTACTGAAGTCATTGAGAAGCCAGAAGCTTAGTAGATATATATACCTACCTTAAATATATATATTTTAAATCCTTCACTCACATTTCTATTATACATTCTCAAGATTGCCTGGTGTGAGTAGCTGTTTTTAAAAAATGCCCCCTGAATAAACATACTCAGACTACATTTTTAACAGTTTGAGAGGGAGATTATGCCACCTCAATAATAATAGTAATAAAAAGAACATTTCCTATTTTAAGGATTTTAACAATATTTGTATGTTTTTGCTCCAATAATTAGTATCACATCAAAAGCATGAATCAAACTAGATAACCAACTTTGGCTGCCTTTAACTGTATATCCAATTGCGTTGTTTTTAAGGTGAGTTCACGATATCTTCCGCATCAAATGCTTTCTTTCAACTTTTTTCAACTGCAGCGACAGTAAAGTAGGAAGAGATGCACTACTGCTCTGTTTGGCTGGACAGCACTGACAGCAATAGAGAGAAAACATAGAAATGTTTAAATGACAAGTCAGCATTTGTTCATGCAGCCCATTGATCTCTTATTGTAAACCCAGCTGTTTTTAACGGCTCATAAAGCAAATATCAAAATAGTCATAAACATGACAAGGAGAAGGGTCCATTTATCATTCAGCTTGAAGAAAACAGACGCTTACCTCGGTTCGTTTCCTGTAACTTAACAGAACGGTATCCAGGAGAAACATTACGGTTGCTAGGGAGAGGTGTCAGGATGATTTCTTTCTTTTTTTTTTTTTTTTTTTTATAAATGTGCATTTTTGGACGTTAAGTTGAAAACAATCCCTCCCTTAAGCGTTAAAAACACTTTACATTCCTAAAGGGCGTGGAGGGACCAGCCGGCTGATGAAAGTTTGGTTTTACTGAATTAAAGAAGGGGAGGGACTTGCTGCGAAACTTTCCCAACTCTTCACTTCTTCCGGACATTTTTGCAGAAACCCTGGAGCACAGAGGGAAGATGCACGGGTTTGTTAAACATGTGAAGTAATGTAAACTAACTTTGGGTGATTTCTTTCTTTTCCTACCAAAGCCCACTTGAGTAGGTTTGATATTTCTTTTCTTCAGCCAAGTTTTCCGTTTTGGAGAAGAGCGAGGTGCCCCTGAATCATAATGGCACAGGTTTGCATGCAGCGGCTCTGCACGCCGCCGCGCACGGCGCTCTGGGCTCTGCTGCTCTGCACACAGGCCGCTTTGGGCTTCTCGCTCACGGGACAGCAGACAACCTGCGAGGCCAACGGCAGCATTTACTACGTGGGAGAGTGGTACTTCCTGGACTCGGATCACTGCACGCAGTGCGAGTGCACCAGTGAGGGCTCCGTGTGCGCCCGCACCGAATGCACGTCCCTCCCGGCCGCCTGCATCCATGTGAGCCACTACCCCACCGACTGCTGCCCCAGGTGCGAGAAGATCGGCTGTGAGTACCGGGGGGTGGTGTACGAGCTGGGAGAAAACTTCCAGGTAAGACACGCCTCATCCATGATAGTTATGGAAGCCCGTTTCCTCCACTCTGGTGAAAAGCACCCCCCCCCAAAAAAACCATTGTATCTCAAAATTGTGACTTTGCTACCTAATAATTCTGAAGCTTTTTGCGGAAATGAGCCTCCAGTCTCCAGCTTCATTTTTCACATCTCAATTGTCAATAAACAAATAATAGATTTTAAGTCATATGAAGCAGAGGAGATTTCAGGTCATCGGGGTTCACACTAAAAGCAAAAGGTGCACCAATTTTTCTTGGCCATTTTGCTGTTTTCTCTGAGGTCTCCATAATAAAAGCTGAAATACAGCTTTGATAAACAATAAAACACTGTTAGATTAGTGCTTGTTATAAATATGCAACACTATATTTTAAAGTTATAATCTTGTTGCAAAAACAAACTTTGCCCTATCTGTACCTGATATGTTATGAATACGCAGCAGAGAAGAGGTAAATGGCGCCCCCTTTCGTAACACCATGAGATAGGATTTATGTGTGTGCCTCAGAAGGACATTGTGAATCGTTTCAAGTACAGCATCAGCCTGTGTGTTGCAGCCATCTGAATGTGAGCAGTGCACCTGCGACAGCGATGGCAACGCCCTCTGTCTCGTGGCAGACTGTGCCCCTCCACCCTGTGTCAATCCTGTGTACCAGCCTGGGAAATGCTGCCCGGAATGCAAGGAGGGTATGTTGTGTAAACCACAAACGGCAAACATTTTTTTATTTTTTCCACAGTTTCTCAAGTTAGAAACATAAAGTTTAATGTATTTTGTAAAGACTATCATAGACCAACTAAAGGTAGAGAATAATGGTGAGGTGGAAAGAAAATGGTACGTGGTTTTGTTTTGTTAAACCAATGACAATCTGAAAAGTGTGGCATACAGAGTGGTATTCGTGGTGCACCTATCTGTTCTGCCTCTGAGCACGAGGGGCAGATGAAAACTTTTTTTGTTTAAATTAGGGCAACTTTTTTACAAATACAAATGTTTGTATAATAGAAAATGCTAGGTTAAATCTTTCAATTTCCATGCTTTTTGCTTTTTCCTCCAGGTCCCAACTGTTATACTGATGCTTCCCGCAGCCAAGTGATACCTGCAGGAGAGCCTGTGTGGGTGGACTCCTGCACCAAGTGTCGCTGTCATGATGGCCAGGACGCCGGCTACTGGGAGGGAAATCGCCTTGCCACTTGTTCCCGCATGAAAAACTGCACACCTCAGCATCCGCCCACCCCAATTCAGTGATTCTTCATGCAACCACCATATATTTAAAAATATGTGATCTTCAGAGTTTAGGTATTTTATTACTGAAGATGTCATCAGTCCATCCCAGGCATGAGAATCTGTAAATGAAATAGGGGTAACTCACCAACACTTGAATGTAACAAAAAAAAGTCAATAAAATTTGGAACCATCTATGAAACGATGCGACTTCATCCCACAACTCTGTTCACTGACGTAGCAACTTTATCTCAAAACACGGGGATTAAAAATTGGACAGAAATTGTACTTTGTACATCTACTTTTTAAATCTAGGTCCATTTATTTTATATTTTTGCATTTTTAAAAATGTTGCTTAGATGTTGAGAATGTTTTTAAAAAGAAACAGGAAAAAGAGTGAGCGCTTTAGGATCTCTTAGTTCCAAAATACCCAGAACATTATGCATAGATTTAAGCGCTATAATAAACAACTGATAAATAAGATAACTAGTGACAGACTTGTCACAACCTAATGCAGTTTACACATCATGCACAGCTGTGATGAACAGTAAATAGGAAACACTTAATGAAAGTATAATATTAAGATTTGTTGGCATGATATTTAAATGCTATTTTACATGTATGCTGCTTGGACACGCACACTATGTAGGAGGTAGTATTAATTCTTCAGTGCTAAGATACAGCAAATATACAGTTTTCAGTGACTCGTCAGAATCAAAGTCTTTAGTTTATTTTAACATAAAGATGTTGCATTGTTTTAAATTTTGCAAGACTTACTCCAGGAACTCGTTACCTTAATTACAATGTGTATCTGAAATAAAACCAAACATGCTCTTAGCTTTTTAGCTATGTTGACCTAATAAAAAAAAAATCTGAAACCTACTCCATTGTTGTGAAAAAAATGAATAACACTCAACCAAGTTCGTGTTTTTCAACCTTATTGTCAAGAATGTAACTGGAACAAACAATGATTGAAATGTGTATGAAACCTGCTTCTAGTACTGGGATCAGTTGTCTGTTGGGTAAACTGTTTCCTGATGCAACGTTTTTCTCTCATTACACCTCAGTACATTGGTTTTACACTGTAAGTCAAAATAAACTACTAGGTTTGTTTTTTCGTTTTAGAGTATTTTCTTCAGTTTCTATTTAATTTTTTTACCTTTCTTTGTGAAAACCTTTAATCAAGAAGCCTACTCTTGTAAGACACTTTTGTTACTGCCCTAAATGCTTTTCCTGTTTTGTTATGACCACAAACTGTATTTTACTGGGATTTCTTTAAAGATGATTAAATAAAAGTTGTGCAATGGAAAGTACATAAAAAATACAAATATATCAAGGATTTATATTCAGCCTTACTGAGTCAAAACTTTGCTGAACCAACTTTTCACAGCTAGAGAATTAAATTAATAACTGAAGTCTAGTCTGATCAGTTACAGAATGACTATCCAGCAACATATAAGAAAGCAAACTATTGTTAATATACAAAAAAAAAAAAAATCCTGTTCACTTTGGCCCAGATGTGAAAACTAGCGTTACTTTAAAGAATCAGGAAGCACACCAACATACAATCTTTACCATCAGATTTATTAATTGTATAGAAAAAGTAGGTTTGATATGACATAATGCATTCTATATAAGATATAACATTTTCAACATTCAATGTACAAAAAAGCCATAGGTACAGTAAAGTTTTAGAAACACCTCCGGGCCTGAAGATCTTGTTGGCTGTCAAGCAGTTGAAGAGCAAAGAGTGCATCTGAAGATGGATTCAAACACTAACCACCAGAAGTGTGATACAGCTGTTTGATTCTCAAGCAGAGGCCACAAATACATTTTTTGCTAAATACGTTGGTTACTGATCTTGGTGAAGCATGGTACAGTTTATACACACTGGGGCCTTCTTGCCAGCTACAGTTGAAACCAGAATTCACATACACAAAATAAAAAGACAAAAACATTTTCTCACTATTTGAAGTTAATTCAGACCAAATTCCTCTTGTTTTAGTTCAATTAGAATTACTAATTACAACTCATTTGTGCCCTAGCTTTAACCTCCTGGCTGTTGTCTTGCAATATTTATGTGAATATTTTCACAAGTTTGTTTCCCATGATGGCATTAATTTTATAAAGTGCAGCAGTTCCTCCTGCACCACAACAGCCCATAGCATCATGCTGCCACCCCCATACTGAGTGACACCCTTCCTGGGCTGATTTTTTGTGGCTTTTCCAGTGTGTCAAACAAAAGAGTATAATGTATTAATGTATTCATGAGTGAACTTCCAATTTACTTAAATGTGTTATTTGACCCATCACAAGTTTTCAAAGCCATGATATCATCATCTGGGCCTACCCTAATTGTTTAAAGACAGTACTTACACAATTTAGTGTGTAAATTCTGATTTTGTTGTTATTTTCTCTTATTATTCTGGCATTTATCAAATATAAATCATTTTAGTAAGTCTGACTGACCTAAAACAAGAGAAGTTTGGTCTGATTTAACTTTCGATAGTGAGAAAATAAAGTTTATTTGTCCAGTGCAAATAAACTTGCACTGGACAAGTTTATTTGCACATATCTAACATCGTACAATTAATCGAATCAAAAGTTCCAAGTGGTATCAGACTCGTACTCGGTTTGTTTTAAGGAGCATTGAAACAATCTTATTATCACTTTTATAAAGAATGGGTTTTTGATTTTAATTTGGCATGAATGTGTGCTGTAACTTTCACAGCTTTCCTAAGAAAAATTATTATTATTATTATTATTATTATTATTATTATTATTTTTACCATGAGATGAAAGGCAGGAAGTACTGGAGTGACAATGCGTTCGACTTTTACCTTAGAAGTCGGAATTTCTGAGATGCACATCCTAAAATAAATGGCATGGCTCTAAAAATCAAAATCCCAGCTTGATAAGCGGAGATCTATGAGCGATCCCAAGTTCATATTCAAAATGACTGCTGCATTTTAACTTGTGAGTGCTGAGTTAGAATTAAGAAAACCATTTGAATGAATGCCAGGATAACAAGAGAGATAATTACTTTGAGAAATATTTCTAATATTTTCTTCAAAGTCAGAGGTTTACTGGGGTTGAGGTTAGCATCCGTTAAAAAAATATTTTTTTGGGGGGAAGCCCAGTTGATGTAATCACTCTGTAATCTTCTAAAAGGATATTTCACAACAGTTGAGTAAATTGGAGGCACATTTGTGAATGTAATTTAAGGCAACAATTAAAGCAGCGCTTCCACAGCAAAATCATCAGAAAATAAGCAGAAACATGAGGGAGATGATTGTGGAACTACCAGAAGATTTGTTCATCCATGCATTGTCTGCTCAAAAAAAAAATTATATCCAAGTATGAATAGCATGGAAATGTCCAGCATTCACAATAATTAAAAATTGACACTTTTCATCCAAATGATGAAAAACATAATTTGGATGAAAAACAGAAAGACTTGCAAGCCTGAGAGCACCCTCTCAATTTTTGCTCCAGGAGGGACTGGTGCACTTCACAAAATCAATGGCATCATGAGAAAATAATGTAATGAGAAATTAGTAAAGCGACATCTCCACACAACAGCCAAGAAGTTAGAGTTTGGGCACAAATCTTCCAAAGGGACAAGGAACACAGACATACTGCTAATTTAGTAAAAATCGACTTATGTGTGACAAAAGTCAGTATTGAAACAGCGATCTTAAAGCCCTGATGCTTGTCCCATAGAAAATCAAACTGAAATGGTGTGTTTTAGAAAGAGAGCCAACAAACTCATCTCAGTTTGGGCCAAAAAGCCAGGAAATTACTTTCAGAAGCTTATGTTTGACATACTGTTTAAAAGTATAAAACACAAAAGACATACTTAACTTCAGACTCTGAAGAAAATAAAAGCTTCCGTAACTATTTTCTATCTCATTAATCTGGCATTTCTCAAACAGTAACATTTTGGTAATCTTAATTTACTTAAAATGTAAAAGTTCAGTCTGATTTTATGTCAGGCATAGTGAAGAAATATTTTGTTTCTTTTTTTCTGCCATGGTTTTTCATAGTGTGTGTGTAAATAAACCAAAATAGCATAGCTTCAATTTGTGAAAATGCTTGAAGTCATAAAAACAGAGGCCTGGTCACTACACAAAAAGTTTTGCAACGGACTGATTTTTCAACTTGCAACAAGAAAGAGTATAACTAGGGTTTGCCAAAAATCAAATGTATTAATCAGAATTTGTACTCAGAAACAGGAATTGTCAAGTTCCAACTTACAAAATCTCAACAAAATGATTGCAGAATTTGTAGGTCTCTGAGAAACTCCTAGTTCAATATCCAATATGGCCACCATATGTGTAAAACTGGGTCAAAGACACAGGAATAAAATGTTTGCAGCAGAACAAACCAGTAGGACAAATAGTGCTGTAAAACTACTTGCTTACATATTTAAATACGTAAAACTAAAGATAAAATGTTTTCACCTTGCACTGCTAATAGTAGGCCAGGCACTGATCATAACAATTAGTTTGGCCCACCGGTTTCTTGATTTGCAGCTCCAACAAACTCAGATGTGATGTCTATCTCAGAGCTGAGTTCCAAAGCAAACACAGTATAACTTTAATCAAGATTGCAGCCAGTTGGGCATGGATGAGTTATTGCAATGAAATTATATCAAACTTTGAAATTGCTAAATTTTCCACACCATTCCTACAGTTTCAAATCTTTTCAATGAGATGGCAGAGAAAATAGCAGAGTGACCTAAGTTTTCTTTGGCTGTAGCTCCGTCCTCACATGTTGCTGCCCACTGCAGTTCAGCTGTACAAGATAGATGAATTTGTAATTTTATGGCTCTTTGATGAGTAAGCAGATCAATTCTGAGTCCAGTTCTTGATGATTTGAGTAGTTTTTTTAATCCAGTTGTGGGGTGTTTTATTATGCATATTTTTTATTTTCTTTGTGTTATTACGCATATATACATGTGACCAAAACTTGCAATACTAAAATTGCACCAAATGTCATTGCACTTAATATTTATCATGTGATTTAAGACTTTAGGGCTTTAAAAATATGGATAATATGATCTTGAAGTCACCAAACTTTAAAAGCGTTCTGCTTTTGCTGTAGTGCCCCTTTAAGACCATGTGAAAAAAAAGTATGTAATTGCTGCACTTTCTCATTATCAGCGTTTATAACCACAAAAACTGACCCCCTAAAAATGCTATGACCTTCCATCCTTAGTAATGACTATAAAGCAGAGCATGCAACAGATGTGAACTGATGTGTAATACTGCTGTAAACAGTTTCAATAAGGAAACACGTTGACCACTTGTAGTCAGAAAAGAGAAAAGCACCAGAAATACGGCTAATCAAATGGAAAAAGAGAGAATCATACTCCAGGCAAGAGGGAGCCAAATGGACAGTGAAGAGAGAAGGAGGAAACAGGTGGAGGTTAGAAAGACTCACAAGTGGGGATGTGTGCTGAGAAGCAGTGATTAGAGACAAAATAAAGATACAGACAAAGAGAGCTCCTGTCGATATCTGTTGAAAAGAAGAAGCACTCTTCCTGTGAGGCCCAGATGTGCCTGAAGTGGGTCCATCACAAAGCACAACAGTGAGCCACCAATACAATACAGCCCAGACCGGCAGAATAAGAATGGAAAGGCAGCAAGAAGGGAGATAATACATAAAAAAGGCAGATGGTGTGAATGAGGGTGTTTTATATGTGTGTGCGTGTGCGTGTCTGATTGTGTGTTCTGAAAAGAGGAGCAATTATATCGTCCACCATTCAGGCTTGAGGCGAGGAGCCAAGCAGATTGAAACCTATTTTGCCTCAAGGCTGACCAAAAAGGTGAAATCATTTTCGCTAAAGTATAACAGTTAAGGGAATTCACTTCAACCTCTTTAGTTTAGATTTTCTCAGAGACCTCTTTCTTCTCCCAGGTCTGACCTTTGAATTAGTACAGATTATTTCTCAAGGCATTAGTTTGGAGGTGTGGGCATTAATAGACGAACAAGAAAGGCGAGAAAAATGTAAAACAAAAAGGAAGAAGAGCAATGTCACAGAGACAAAGCTGTCCAAGGCTATAAAGTGTTGGTGGAAGAGCGAATTAAATACTGTGTATATCTTTTAAATTGTTCAACATATGTTACTAAATGTTCTAAATCATTTTTACAGGACAAACTGCACTGATGTGATTAAGCAGAACAAGATATGAATATGTTATTATTATGGCTGACGCTGAATGTAGGAACAAAATTCATAAATGTCACAGACAGAATGCTCAGCTGGTTTAAACAGTGGCTTGCAAATGTACACAAACCCATTGAACGTTTTAATAATGTTGAACCCACAAATTTTATGTTTTTTTTATTGAGATTTTATGTGATAAACCAACAATTTTTTCCCAGGCTTAGGGTTAAGGTTAATGAATTGCATTATCTTAAGTGTTGAGTCTAACTGTAATTGGCCAACTGGAAGTCTTTTGGGTCATTTGGAAGGTCAACCTCCACTCGACTCCTTTACAGTCTGCAGTTTTCACTGCACTCAGGTGATTAATAATTTGATTACTTCTAAACACTGGAGAATATTTTTTTTGTGGGTGTCAGAGTAAGGGATTTTCCACTGCACACCACAGTTTTCAGAGTTTTCTTTGCAAAAATCCACTTCACAAATATGCTGAACTCTGTGTTGGTCTATCACATAAAATAATAATTTACATCAAGCTAGTGACAAAATATGAAGAAAAAATGGGAAGTATGAGTATGTTTGCAATGCTTTGTATATTACCAGAGAAGTTTTAAATGTCCTTTCAACAATTTACTCCATTTTGATATGTTTTCTAAACAACTGAATGCTAAAGATAGACACAAAAGTGGCTAATAAACACTATACAAATTTGATGATATTTGTTTTAAAAAAGACTTCATGGCTATACTGAAGCTTAAAAAATAACCACAAGACTTAGTTTTCAGCTAGTTCTGTCAGTGTAAAAGATTTGCAAGCCAATGTTTTTAGCCGCAATGCTACTTGACTGTAAAACACAACCTGACAGCTCGGGTTTCATGTTTATTTTGACAAAATTTGATGAGTTCAGAATGTTGAAGAAACTTTATAGCATATTGCACCTTAAGAAAATGGGTTAGCCTATTAAAACTGTAGTAAGGCGACAAAATAAAAGGCAAAAGGAAAACTGGAACTCATAACCCGACCTGTCAGTTGGTTTGTCTTTTTTCCATGTTTCGACGTACTTCCACCAGGCTGCACACTGAAGAAAACTTTTCAAATAATTGTGTCTTTTTGTTACAAAATTCCAGTTCTGTTTTGAAGTTCAGAAATGTATAAAAGAAGAGAGAAAAAATGAGCCCCCTCTTTCCCACCCCAGTGTTTCATTGCTGCTGTTTTCATGAGTCTTCTGCTGTAGATGCAGGCACGTTAAACATTCATAGACGTATAGCAGAAGGTTTGAGTTTGGAGATTCAGACTGAAAACTCCCAGAAGTAAATGTCAACATGAATGAAACAGTTCTGTGTCAAGACAAAATGATGTCTTGGGGACAACAAAAACCATCTGAACCTCTGAATAGTCATGTTCCTGTGATAATCTGATACCTGCAAAACGTCACTGCAAATGTTTGGTAATTTCATGCATTTCCCAACTGGAAGTTGTATCCTGTTCATGTTGTCAAGCATTGTGGTGAACAGAAGTTTGTTTTGAAATGTCACCGAGTTATTGTGTGTGCATTTCCAGAACAGGGCAAGGTGTTTTATAATAGCCATGTCTGGTGTTCCTGCCAATATGTTGCTGGATGCCCTCCAGTTTGCAGATGATAGTTCATGGAACGACTCTTGAGTTTGACAACGACCTTCTGTCAGTTGCCGACATTCCCGCTTCGTTTCCAAAGGTTTTTAACGTCACTGACAGTTACCGGGTGGCAGCTGGCATCCCTAGTGAAATCCAGTAAAAATTGTCAAGCTGAAATCTCAAACAAGTAAACAGGGGAAAAAGGAGAAAGTCACATCATCCTTCTCTTCTCCACACCTTCCTTTCTTCTCTCCCGCCCGAGTAAAAGTGCATCAACTTCAGATCCTTCTCTCTTTCATTCTCTCTAGCCTTTGATGGGCCGAGGCGGCGGCTTGCCGATCTCCACTGAGATGTTTGTGTACATAGGATACTTCTTCACCTGAACCAGTTTGTAGGTCAAGGAGCTGATGCCATCCTTCTTCATTGTGTTCTTTGTGTTTTGTATTTTGTTGAATCTAAAAAGAGAGAGAGAGACGAAGAGACGAAAAACATAGATGTGATTCAGAGTAAGAAAAGAGAAGCAGTGCAAAGTTTAAACCTTCCTTCTCATATTTTACTGCCAGGATCTCTTGCATTGGGGGATGGCGAGACTAAGTATTAATTTTTAATTCTCAATAATATTTTGGGCCATTCTAACACAAATATGCATTGCTATAAGTCACTACAGCTTTTCTATTTGCTTAGTGTTGATTTCTTAAAGAAGGTAGTGTTATTTTTCAAAGGTACTGTAAATTTTCAGTTCAAATATCAAAATAGAAAGTTGTAGTTCACCTTGGTCACATCTTTTCATGCAATGGTTGCCTGATTTTGTTTAGTTAGGTTTATGGCAGCTTGGACTGGGCACTGGAAAATCTAACAGCTTTTTAACCAGAAAACACAGCCTTAAAAATACCTTCATGGTTTCCATATTTTCCCATTTTAAGAAATTTAATTCATATTCACAAGTTCTAATGCAATGTTTGGGGCCAAAAGTTGCTCTTCAACCATATCTGTACATCACATAAATTGAACATCTAGAAGTAAAAATAAAGTTCAGAAAGTATTCAGTATTTTATTTTGCCGGCCAATCAGCTTGGGTTTTCACCGGATACTACAGCCTATGGACCAAAAACCTGTCTGTTTGGTAATGCGGTTGCTCTAAATTTTGCTTAAGTCTGAATGCATGTGTACTTGACTGTGTCTCTGTGTTGCCTCACGATGGACGGTTCACCTGTCCTGATAAAACCCAACCTCTTGCCAAATCAATGCTAGATATTGGAAACCTATTTTCCAAATATAAATAAAAGCTGGTAAATGTGAGTTAAGCACATACTGAACATTTTTAAAGAAAACAAAATCTAAGAATGTCATCTGTAAAAAAAGCTCAAAACAAAAGATAAACAGCATAAAAAAGCCTAATAGCATCTGATAACTGAACTTTCCCCGACTACAAAGAACAGAAACCATGCTGACCAACAGGTGGTGCTGTGGTACTGATATAGGAACTTAATGAGTTGTATTATCTCCAATATCCTGCTTTGGTTTTTCTGAATCATGCTGAACTCTCTTTCCTCATTGGCTGTGATTCAGTAGTTACATCAGAATCTGCTCTGAATTTGGGAATTAAAGCAGGAAAATAAGTCGCACACTGTGTCAGATGGTTACAGTTCTTATGCTGAAGCTTGAATTTAGTGAGTGAGGCAATCTTCTGCATTAAACCCTGGTTCAAAACACAAACCTACATGACATTTCTGTTTACAACACCATTGTTTTAAAATGTGTTTTTTATAGAAAGAGCTGGCGTGTGCAAACATGAGCAGTTCCACATTCAGTCTTCAAACGAGAGCAGTGACTGACTCCAACAAAAGATGTCTCCCTAATGATATGCTTGGACGTACAAGTGGAGTTGACGCTTCAGTTCGCCACGGACCGTTGAGTCCACAGAGTCCTGTCAGAGCTGACTGCTGAAGCCCTTGCCCTCTTTCAGCTTTGCTTTCCCCTCTTGTTTTTGTATCCCTCAAATTAAATAATAATAAAAAAAGCTTCACTGGCCTGAATGGAGGCTGGAAAATCTTATAAAGCATCTTCCTTTTGAACATCACAACACAATAACATAGAAATAGAATTACACTTGTGTTACTAACATTAGGAAGAGACACTTCTGTCCAAAAGGAGGGAGGATTAGGTTAAGTGAGAAGAGGGGATGAAGAGAAAGAGCATCAAGTTTCAGCTTAAATGAAGCATGGAGGGTGCAGAGGAAAAAGTGAAAGGCAGATAAGAGAGATAAATATATATCCAAGAGTGACAGATGGATGGAGATATAATTTAAATCAAAAAAGGGGGATTAAAGGCAATAAACTTATTTCCTACATGCATATAGAGAATGGCCGAACCGTAGCGTCCCCCATAGATTACTGTTGCATATAATTTCAAAGTTGTGACTGCTTTATTCTTGAAAGTTGGAGGGCGAGCCAAAGGCAGCCCACCTCATATATCCATTAGCCTGATTTCCACAAGTTCTAATTGGGCTGAGTAAAGCTCTATTTTAATGCTGCTGGGGGTCTCACAGGGAAATGCTTCTTGTTTCAGATCTCAACAATAGACTGTAATGCCAGAAACTAAGGGATATTTTTATCATGTAATTTGTTGCTGCACACGTCCTTGTTCTGGAAAAATGGTCTTTAAGGAGTAGCTTAACAATAACTCTTTCACTTGCTTCTTAATGAGAGCAACCCTGGACAGTGTGTAACAGATCAATGTTGCCTTTGAATTTGAAGTGAAACCAATGAGTAAACACATCCAGGCCATATTTTACCTTGTAGTCATCAGATATTACAATATTACAATATGCCAATATGTCATGCATATTACAATATGCCCTGTACACTCAGGGCATGTAGTGTTTGCCCTGAGTGTTTTGATCAGTGGTTGGACATTCGCTGGGCAGGCAGAGGTTCAACTCAAATGCATAATGTTGTGTCATGCTAGTACAACAACAATCATGATGCCAGTAGCTCCAAGCTAACCAAGCTGTACCATTATCCAAAAAGGGAGCAGGAATGATGTAGTGCGGCTTGTTTGTATGGGACAATTCAACAACTGATGTCAAATCACTGAGCTGTTCAGCTCAATGGAAATGAGCCAATAGTTTACAATGATACTTTCAGTAAAATCAATGGGAATATACACTGCACAAACGTATAAAAAAAATTAATCAGAGCTGTTTACGGGATTAGCTCAGATATAAGCAGTCTTATATTTTTTACATTTTTTCAGGAATCACTGCATCAGGAAAGGACATGATCAGCTTCTGACTTTGTAAAGCAGGTTTTGTTACTATGAGGTTTCATCTCAGCAGTATAGCTGGATCCTCATGGATGTATCAAATAGATTCTCTGTGGGGTTCAGGTCGGGTAAGTTTGCTGGCTAATTAAGCACAGTGATACGATATTCATTAAAGTAAATATTGGCACTTTAGCAGTTTGGGCAGGTGCCAAGTCCTCCTGGAAAATTAAATCAGCATGCCCTTGGACTTGAAAAAACAGTGGGGTTAACATCAGGAGATGCAGTAGCTCTGCAAATCACAAATAGCTTAACTCAAGGAATGTGACAGTTGCAGCCCAAGTCTAACATAGATCTTTGCAGTGGTTCTTGAAGTAAAACCTTTCAGATCGTCCTTTAGTTCTGTGATCTAGACATGTTTATAACTCCTCTTGAAAAATCTTGACACAAAATGGGGGGTTAAAATTAACCCTGCAAAATGACACTTTTGTTCCACTGTTTCAACTAGAAATGAACCTATAGCCACTACGAACTAGATCCACAGGTGAAGAACATTGTATTGTACTCCAGTGTCCATATGACCGAAGTTGCATGTTGATCAGCAGGATCTCAGAATTAAAATAATAATCACATCACGCATTTTGACAGCTTAAAAGAGAAATCTCCTGTAGATGAAGGCTGCAAGTTGTAAGTCACACCCTTCCAGGACTCTGAATGATGTGAAAGGGGCTACTTACTCTAACCACAGTTCACATTCTTGTGAACATCCCACAAACTCTAGAAAGGACTTTGCTTAAACATCCTCTCAAAGCTCTATTTATTGCTGCTGTTTGTGTACTTTTTCAATCATGTTTCTGGATATAGGACTTCTTTAGGAATTACCTCTCTGTGATTACTCTCCTTGTTTCAGTGATTGTTTGCTGGACAAAGTCAACGGTCCTCCGCTTGATTGTGTAACATGGTCAGATTTTGTTTTTTAATAATACAAAATAAATGTAAACTTATTTTCAGCTTTAAATTATATGGCACTTTTTTGAGATACATAATTTATAAGCCATTCACATAAAAAATAGCAGGAAGAAAACTGAGAATATATTACTGAGTGCAACAAATCTACAAGTCTCACTTTTTGATTTAAATTACTGAAACAAATTAACTTCTTAAGGAGGTTCACATTTTTGGGAATGCACCTGCAAATGTAAAATATATTCATCAGTGGTCAATAAAAATCTTCTACAAATAGTTGGGATTAACATGAATATTTTAATCAGGGTTGTGGTCGGCCCAACTGTAACACGAGAAACAGTATTTGGCCAAATGTTGTTTTCTATTTTCACTATTGTAAATAAGAGGGTGCACCTAATGTACAGTTTATGCTAACTTCATTTTTTAGAAGCCAGTTGTGCATAGGTATACTTCTATACTCATACATAAATTCAAATGCATACACCGACATACATTTCAGCCGCACTGTACCGGGATCATAACATATGAACTGAATATTGGACAATATCTCCCTGCATCTCATTCAATTGTAATGCATGAGGCAAAGTTTGCCAGACAGAGTGCGTGCGTGTACGAGTGTGTGTGTGTGTGATGAATGTCCCTCTTTCTTACCAATATCTCATTGCTATGCCTAACCAGAATCTCTGAGCGAACTGAGAGAAAGGAGTCTTGTGTGAAAGATTGTGCACATTCAACTCAATGTGCAGTCATAGGTGCGTGCGAGATAGCAAACATTCATCAGGCAGTAGGTATAAAAGTATTCCTCTGTAAAAACTGGACATTACCCAGGTAGCCCAGACAACATGTCTTAGAAGACTTTATAATTATTCTGAAGTATAAAGAGGGTCCAAAAACTGGACCTGGAGACAAAGAAACAGAAAGTCAAGCTGAATTTATCAGTGAAAGGGGCATTTTTTATAGAGGACATGTCAAATGAACAAGCATAAAATACAACATGACATTTTCTGTGAGGAATGCAGCTTCTGTTAACACACCTGTACGGTTCCTGTCAATGTGTCAAAATTCTCGGCGTGGGAAAAAAAAAAAGCTATAGTGATGCAAACCTCTTCAAGGACAATCTGAACTGTTTTCCATTCTTTTTAAAAATAAAAGAAAATACTTTTCTTTCATTCACCAAACAACCAAGCAGGTTTGTTATTTATCTCAATGCATTCAGGAGAAAAACTCAAAGACCCTCAGGCCAAATGCAGGTGTTGAATAAAATTCATAGTTTTAAAATGGTAAATGTGTCCTTTTTATGTTATTTGAAGCTTTAAAAAGAGGTCACTTATTTTGTATCTTGAGAAATCAATTTAACATTCCAAATAAACCTGATAAAAGTATCAGACTTAATCTATCCATACTCTCTTGCTTTTACTTTCCAATTTGAAGTGGCTCTGTCTTCTCTTTGTTTTTCTTTCTAACAGATTCAGTAATTGTGGTAATTTTGCCTCTTTCCTGAACAAAGGTACATATAGATGTGATGCTTCCTTTAACATTATGAACTCATTTGTTTTATGTTTTCCATAGAACAGACTTATGCTGAGCTGTGCGTCTTCATGGGAGCCATTAACTGAGGTACTAATGTTTTTAACTATGCTTATTCTGTTTTCATTTCCCATAAAACTGGCCCTGGTCATGTATCTCTGGATTTAGGAATGTCTCTTCTTAGATCAAGACATTGATTGAGCTATTGCTGATTTTAATTATGGTACCTCTATTTTATTAGTTTTATTTCAAAAAATGTACATCTGCTGATAAATTCATGTAATTTTTTTTGCCTTTGCTTTTCAGTGGGGGTTTTAATACGATGTGCAATATAGTTTCTGCCAGGATGAACAGTTGTGCAAGACAAATTATTGCTGAGATAGGAACTGAAGAAGCTTTCTTCGCGTCTTCACAAAATAGAAGAAGTGCTCAATAAAACGGTAAGAAGGTATTGGTGTGCACCAGAGATGGGTTATGACACTACTGATTAAAAACTTATGAGTTGTTACCATATTGTTTTCAAGGTGTATATTTGGCAACTGTGTCTTAAACTTTGGTTAATTTGATAGATTAAATCTGCTGCAGAGTGTCAGAAATGCTTACCAAGCTACATTATAATAAATATCTTGTTTCCCACAGAAGGAATTTCATGCTCAAAGGGGACTCAGAAAATAAATGAGAGCCTTTCATTTTAAACAAAATTGCCTGAATGCAGTCATGAGTCGGCTATTTCCACCTTTGCTGCCTCTGACCATCCTGATCTGCCACAATTTATTAAAGTCCAAGTCGACTTCTTTGTAAAAGCTCACTTTAACCTCAACAACATTATAAGTGCCCAGAAAGGCTTTAAAAAATGAAGTTTTTGGCAACTTATAGGAGTATATTTTCTGCCCATCGCCCTGGTGATGAATAATGTATCCACCCCAAATAAAAAGTCGCCCTCCTGGTGTCACCTCTTATAGAGGAAGTCTAGTCTATGGACCAGAAAGAAATCAACCAGCAAGACGGGGAGGAAAACGAGAACTGGGTATCAATCAGAAACACACACACAGACAACATGCACACGCACACACGCGCAAACACATGCACACAGTTTCATTCTGTCTAGTGCCTGATTTATTGATTTTGATGAAAGCAACTCGACCACTCTGACCTAGCCTGCTCCCATCTCTATTGGTGTCATTTCAGCAGGCAATTACTGGGGGGATCGTTGAACCTTTCCATCTCTCTGACATACAATAAACACACAGAGGCACACACGCGTACAAAACAATGAAGAGTGATACATTACACAAGCCTGGTTATTTTAAACATTTTCACTTTCAAGTTATTGGGGTAAATTTACGGTATAGATTGTTAGTTTTTAAAGCTAAAGCACATTGAGATGGATGCCTGATGTTTCAGCAGGAGCTGGAAAAACTATTTTCTCTATGTTCTTGTCAGCAAAAGCCATAAAATGTTTTGGGTGAACTTGCTCTTTCTCCTCATTGGAACTAAAATGGGCATATTATTTATTTCCATATTTTAAGAAATTATGTGATAGAGTACTTCATAATGCATTATTAATGGATCTCTTAGAAGTGCAATGACTAAACTATGTGAGTACAAAATGGAAATTTGCTTAACAACCAAGAAAATCACTAAAAACATAAAAAAGGATCACTGAATAATTATTATGTATAAAACAGACTTTGTAATTGGAGACAGGCTGAGCAGATGGGTAAAGTATACCTGAGGCTCCTGACAAGTATAGGAAGTTTAAAAAGGATGCAGAGAACAAGTGGAGATGATAGGACTGATCTGTTAAGATGTCTTTTTTTAAATTAGTTACATGTTGGCAGAAGAAACTTTTTTTCACCTGTTTGACTTCTGCCTTTTTCACTTCAGGTGTTCTGTAACTTTATTTTTTGTAAATTTTTCTTAACATTTGACGGCAAAACCGTTCTTTCAATTCAGAATGAAAAACAGTGACGTGTGTTTATTCCCCCTTAAAACATGAACAAAATCAGTCACTGGAAAGTATAAAAGCAAAAATGATTTATGTTTTCTTTTTTATTTCTCACACAAAAAGATGAATTTGTATTGCAGTCAACCCCCTGATAAATCATGTTGAGCCATGTTTTGCTGTAGAACGTCCGCATATCTTTTAGGCTTAGTCTACCAGATTTACATATATGAAGACTTGGATGTTGGCTAGAGAAGTGCATCCGAGTTTCAGGTATTGCTACAGATTTTCAATTGGATTTATCTTGAGACTATCAAAACAATAGCTTTCATCTATATCATCCCATGATATCTCCAGTGGCATGGTTAGCATTTTTGTCCTACTGGAAGGTGAACATTTACTCAGGTTTCACATCTTATTTGCAGCCATTGTCAGTTTTTCTCAGCTTTTAGGTCTGTCCATTTTGCCATTAGTCAGCACTGACCAGCTTACCTGCCTCCTTGCCAGACAACTCTTGATTGGATATTTTTAAGAAAAAAAAACTCCAAACTTGTCATTTCCAACATGGATACAAGACCCAAAAACTTGGACTATTTCTCTTGCATAAAATGCAAAGCACAATAACATTAGATAGAGCAGAACTTTTGTGCTTCTCTTTTATATTTTTTGCTAAGCTAGCAGTTTCATTTCGTTCTCTCCACCAATGTCTCTCTTGCTAAAGGAATATAATTGAAAAGAAAAAAAAAAGTAATATCATATCAGCGGCCAGGTTCAGAGGCTATATGCAAAATTCAAATCAAGCAGCCACAATTTGTTTGGCTGCAGTAAACAGTCAATATTCTTTCACTCATGACTCTTGTTCCCAGCAGTTGTTAATCTTCTTAAAAACCAATTTAGCAGCAACGACTAAAGCAGAACTCACTGCGGACTACGGTCCTGGAGCACAGAAGTGTCTAAATGTTGTGACATAATCATGCCACTGGAGATCAAACTGAAATAATATTGGGGGAGGGCGATAACAAGTTTCACAACATATTTATTCAAACCAAGGCAGAGCAGCTATCGATTTTGGTGCTGAGAGGCTTCATTGGCCGGCCTATCCAAGCATGAAAACGGAGGCTCTTAGAGGAGAATAAACAGTGATAATCCGCATTTAAGCAGCTTAATGTGAGGTGCTATACTCCTGGTGATTAATGTGTCTAGAAGGGCTCATCTCTGCATACTGGTTCTCATTCATCAAAGCATAAAATAGCACATTTATGAGGGAGGTATTTTTGCATGTTTTGTCTGAAAAAGCACTTCAGATCAGAGAAGTGAAAAGAGCAGCATTAAAACCCCAGGGCTGTATGCATGAAAAGCAATATTTGGTTTATTAAAAAAGCTTTTTTTTTTTTTTCTTTGGTGTTTTAACATTTTATCTTGTCTTTTCGTGACCATAATGCCCAAACCGTGGTGTGCAGGAAATTACATTGATTCATATTTTGCTTTATAATCTGACAGAGTCCTGAAATAATTTTGCACCCGAATGTTATGACCTGCTTAGATTGTAAGAACCTGCCTATTCAGGTGCATATTTACTAAACATTAAATTATAATACTGTAGCGTGTGTGACATATATTTCCCTTATTTACAATACTTTACAAAAAGATTCAAACACTTCAAACTTTTTTTTTTTTTTTACAATTCTTAACATTACAGCCTTGAACTTAAATTTATTTTAATGGAACTTTATGAGCCAAGTCAACAGAAAGTAGAGCGTGATTATAGAGAGGAAAAATTGTAGTTGTTTTGTAACATGTTTATGTCGTTCTCCTCCTTTTAGAAAGTTAAAACGAGATGCTATAAAAGCCAAACTACTTTTAACACTGTATAACAAACGCAACTAAAATTAGAAAAAGGCAAGATAAGACTACAAACTTCCATTCGACAGCTTCTTCCTCCAAACTCCCAAGATCCATGCTGTCGGGAAGCTGATTTAGCCAAATACCAGGCTTAAAGAGCTGACAGCAACACAGTCTTTAATGATAGACTTTAACATCTCTAAGGTGTGTCAATGGGTGAATTTTTCTTCCCTTTCACTTGTAGTTTCTTTGGAGACCTGCTCAGTGAACAAACAGCAGGAGCGCTGGACTAACAGCAGGCAGCTCCCAGGTGTGAATTGGAAATCAGAAGCTGTGGAAAATAAAGAGCAAGAGTTCTCGTATAACCAGTGGATGTAACGCAGTCTGACAAATGTGGTTCTTCTGACGTTTCGAACTCAGATTGCAAAGCACTGTGTTACTTAATAGATTGTCAGGGAGTCACATTTTTGTAACTCTTAAAAAAAGAAATCCAAAATCTAACAGAAATAACTGAAAAGTTTTTGTATGAAACAAAAGCAGCAAGATCAATTTAAATGTAAAGATGGGGATTGACTCCAGACAGTGATGCAGTACCTCTGTGGGTTTGGCTCGTTGTGTTTGTCCCTCTCATGCTTAATCATTCTGTAGCGGCCGATGCGAACGTCTGGCCTGGACACCTTCATCCCGTTGAGAGTGATCCTGCAACACATACAGATGGAATATCCATTAGGTGACGGAGAGTGAACAAAAACATAGAGACTGAGGGAAAAAAAGGGTTAACTGCAAGAGAAAAAAACTGACAAAAATCCCAACTTCAACCTGAGATTAATTATATTGCCGTTTTATCTTTTGTTCTCTTCTACTAAATCTCAAACATTCGTGGAAAATCTTAATGAGTCAATCAAATTAGTTGGCCCCTCTGCCAGATATATAAAAAACCTTTTTATAAGGGCACAAACAAAAATAAATCCTGAAAAATTCCACTTTTAATTTTGAATTTATTCAAAGAAACAGTATTTCTTAAAAAATAATAAAATAAAATAAAATGAAAAATAAATAAACTAATTAGTGCCTATCTGACTTTTTCACAATTCCTTTTTGGCAAATCTCCTCTCGTCCTGGCTTCCCTCTGCTGGTTTTTGTTGTAGATGCATAAAACCTGCGTGGAGGCACACAGGTTTTATGTAGGATTTAGTGCTGGGTCTAGTGATCATCATGGAAGAAGATTGATTTGATATCTTGTAAACCACCTTTGTATTGATCGGATCTTATTGCTAGATCTTTCACCTGCTTACAGAATGAGTGTTTTGGACTGTTCAGTATTCACACGTGCATTCAAACCGCGCCAGAGTTCACTTCAACCAGGTTTTTAAGCAAACCAAAGTTTGTTGTCTTGGCATCAGAGTTTGATTACAATTCCAGACTTCTGAAGAAACCAACCAGAGTTTGATTTATTTACTGAAATTCAGTACAATAGAAAATGAAAACCTTGGATTACAAAGTAATATTTCAACTTATTTCAAAATTTCTGCTCTGGTTCACGCATTCAGTGAGTTTAAAAAAAGCATTCTGGATATTACTAGTCAGCAGCTGCAAACATCCTATGCAATCAAAAATAGAACTCTCTCTTAGTTTTAGTTTTAGCAGTGCACTTAACATTAGCACAAACATTAGCAGTAGTCTTAAGCTTTTAGCTATTTTGTTTGTTTATTAGCCAGGTTTTGTATACTGAATGAAGGAAGTCAATGTAAGACAACATGCTAGTTTTACCCCTATGATTCAGAATAGACCCACATGCCAGTGAGAGCCTACATGCTAATTTTACCTTATGCACTAATTTGAACATACTGAATGGAGGAAGTCCATGTTACTCAACAAGCTTGTGACTCTTCACATGCTATTGAGTACACTGTAGCTTACTTTAGCATTGATGCAAACGTTTAGCATCAGAAGGGTGGGTTTGGGTTTCTTCAGAAATGTTCCAGTTAATGTTATTATGGGGTCATTGGTGCAGTATTTGAGTCACAGTTGTTGATTCTGTTGCAGTGGGATGTGTGGTTGGTGTATAACACTGACTTCACCATTAAGGTTTTTCTTTATTTCACTTTCCATTTTCATTCTTTTTCTATAAGCAATTTTTTTTACTGGGTGTTTTTCCATTCAGCTTTGCCACTATGCTTTTATCATCACTTGTTTATTTTCACCCTCTGTCTCCTCCTCTGCTCTTTCTAGTTTCTACTTTCTATTTACAAACCTCCCTCAATTTCTGCATCACTACTCCTGTTCTTTAATCTCCCATACAGACGAGGGAAATGTAAATGCAGCCCATAAAAAAAAAAAAAAAATCAAAAACATATTGGCTGATAAAAGATTACAGTCCCAAACTGAATTAAAACAAACTCAGAATAATTTTACACAGATATAAAATAACAGAGTCTGACTCCTTTTCTTTTGTATTTCTCCAGAGCCTCAGCAACTTCGCTGAGATGGCACATATTTGTTTATGATTGCCTTTGACAGAGTGTGCATGCATGCATTTGCATAGTTTTATGAATTTATTTTGATGCAAATAATGTGAGTTTGACAGTACAAAGTTTCTGTAAGCCCTTTTTTTGTCCTCTTTCAGCCTCTCATTGAGCTTAGTTTTACATTATTCCCAGTTCTACATCTTTTAAATAATCCCTTTTGTATCTTCTGACCTGCAGAGTGTGCAGGACTTCTTCAATAATTTCTCTTTCATATGATTCAGTTCACACTTAAAGTGCTATTGGAATCACATATGGTGCAATTCTAGGAAGAGATCTTAAAGAAGCTCAATAGTTGGTTTAGCTAATTGTATCAGCTGTACCAAAATTAAATAATGTTTTATAATAAAATGTGAAAAAAATTAATTTACTTAGAAAATGTATATGCAGAAGCAGCAAATCAAAAAATTTTAACAATGAAGCACTCCTTTGCAGCAATAATTTATTGAGGCACATGCAATTTTAAATATATTTTATACAGTTCAGTGTAAAAGACAAACATAATGGACTTAGGGGGATGAATAAGTAAAAATGAACTCAACTTATTTGGATTAATTTCCCAGGTGATTTCATTGCAATTTAGCTTAATAACTCTCTTTAAATATATAATTTTGTGGCACAACATGCTGGTTTCAGCAGAATTATCCCTGATAAGCCTCAATACAACACATGCACTGCAATAAGCAACAGACAGAGCCAACTGATCATTAGCCAGTGAACACTTCAGGGTGTTTGTCAGCAAAAGAGCCCAATGTTTCCCTCAGGAATTGTTGAGGTCAAATCGGAGCAAGAGGAAAAGCAAAACGTGCAATTTTTTCCCTGCACATATACAGCTCCTCGTGGATAAAACTGCAAATACAGCACCCTGCTGGTAACCCTGTTAAAGTTCTGTAAATACCATACAATTTCAGATCAGCATACTCACACTGAAAGATTTAGAAAAATCCAGTCTTTTTTTCTTACATTAGGATGAAGAGAAACCATCCCCATATTCAGAAATCTGGGGATGTTTTTTTTTTTTTTTTTTTTTTTTTTTACAAAACCACAACATAACAAAATGAGTTGATATGCCGGTAATACTTCTTATAATTTCTTTGTCCATCCATGACAGTCAAGTCTTACCCCATGATATTTTGTCAGGCTGGAGCCAATGAAATATACTCTACGATCTTTCTAGATACTCCACAATCCTGGATCTGTTCTTATGCTTTCTTTTCCTTAGTTCACAGGATTTAGACCAGGGCACTGATGTGTTCATGACAGAAGGTTGATTTATTTTTGTCTGGTGAACAATGGTTGGGAACAGATTCTTTTAATTGTTAAGAGATTTGGTGACCTGAGATGACATTTTTTGCAGCAGCTTTCACAAAAGTGACATATTGTTTTACATCCCTCACCATGTTTCTCAGTATGTGTCTGGGTAGGATAAAATTGCACCCTCTTGTTTTATCACACTTTCAGTTGTTTTGTACATTTAAATGCATTTGTCAAATGATTCAAACCCTTTGAAACACCTTGTCACCCCCTCACCTGTGGTGATTTTGGACCAAGGAGTACTAAAGAAAACCTTTGAGTGCAACTTCCGTCATCATATATTACAAACAAGAACAGAGTAGCATCAGGCTTTAGCAGTTTACATTTACATAAGTATTCGAACGCCGCTACAGTTCACTTCAACCAACTGTGTTCTAGGTTTTTAGGGGGACCAGCGTTTGCTTTGGTCTACATTAGAGTTCGATTGTGTATTCACACCTTCCCCAAAGAACCAGGCTAGAATTTGTTTAAAGCGGACCAAAGCTAGTGTGAATGCACCCTAAATTTCCATAAATTTCATACATTTTCCTCTGAGATTTTTTCTAGGATTAAAAGTTGTTAAAAAGAAATATAAAATTAATAAACATTTTCCAATTTATTTTAGTCTTTTATGAAGGACAGTGGCAGAAAGAATATAATTTGCATCTGTATGTTTCTTTGTATAAACAACATTTATGGATTCTTAGAAATCCTAATTATTTGCAATGTTATTGCAAAGCTTCATAAAACATTATGCATTATATTGGCTGTCTAATCTTGTTTATTTATGTCAATAGAAAACTCTTCTGGCCAAAAACACAAATTTGAAAAGGACAGCCAGGATGATCATGTGAAGCTAAGAGAAGGAAAGCCTCATAAATATGCACCCCAGTGATAAAGTATTGGACCAAAACCTATACGGTGGCTGCTGGAAAATTATCAACCACATGCAAGTTTCAAATACAAATTCTTTGCGTTTTCTGCATTTCAGTTGTATTTGTACCTTCCCCCATCCACAAGTTAACACTTTGTGTAACCTTCTTTGGCTCTAGTTAGAGCTGTGCATCTTTACAAAGAAAGCTCAAACTCAAGTTAGATGGAAAATGTAAACTTTTATTTATTCAAACATATGAAAGTGTTTTCATAAAACCTTTTCCACTGTAACCCTGGCAGTGATTGGAGTCATTGTCCTGCTGGTAGCTGAAACTGATCTTGTTTTAGACTTCACCAAAATGTATCCATTATTGTGCGCTGCTGTGTTCCTTGGTCATCATGTTGCGGTTTTGTAAAAAAAAAAATAAATAAATAAATAAAACAACATGTATTCTTTTCCTTCCACTTTACAATTATTCTTTTATTAATAAAAAAATATTTGAATATTTTATTTAAGGCAATGTGTATGACTGGATTTAATGTAAGGAAGCAGCAAATTATGTCCAACAAAGTCCCAAAGTTTCGTTCCTCTTTGATTCGGCAGGAGAAAAGACTCCAACTAGAGTCAGAATTAAAAGCCGAGTATAAATTTAGCCTTCCTAACTGAATATATTACACAGAAATGTTGTCTAAAGTCATAGAAGCATCAACTAAAAAGGTATGAACTCTGCAGATTTTCCAGCACTTTTCTCTCCATGTAAAAGAAAATCTCCCTGCTAAAATGTTTTATCGTGAAAAGCTGCATTGGTGCCCGCAGCAGTCTTGACAGTGGCCTAGAGAGAAATGCATACAGTATACAGTCTCAGACATTTCATTGGATTAATCAGGAATTTTTGAAGCTCTCCCCCCTTATTCCCACCAGTGGAGGTAATTGCATTAGCGCAATGAAGTGGAGAAGTTAAGTCTTGACTCATGTCTTAGCTCTCACTGCCTGTGTAATAGAGATGT